GGCCGGGCGGGAGGGGGAAAAGGGCAGCAGCAGAGCCCAGGAGAAAGCAGCAGCCAGGGGGAAGAAGCCAGACTTCAGTCAGGGGAAGCCAGAAGAGCAAGGTGGCATCAGCAGCCGCATGCGCCCCCGCCCTGTGAGCCCCACCAGAGGAGGTGTCCTCCCCTCCCCAAGACGGAGGAGACAGGCAGCCCTTCCAAGCCAACCTACTCGGCTGTCAGAGGCTCAACCCCACCTTCCAGAGCAGCTATTGTGGAGGCAGGACTCCTGCGCTGCCTGAGAGCCAACAAGCTAAGCCAGCCAACCAACCCCAGGCTTCAATTGTGATTCAAGCATAGGTGCCAACTTCTCATTTGGCTGGGGGGTGCCCCACACACTCCAGGCCCTGCCCCCACACCACCCCTCTCCCCCCAAGACCCCATCCTGCCTCTTTCCCGCCTCCTCCCCCCAGCACGGTTCCCACTCCTCCTCCTCCCGCCAGGAGCCTGAAGCCAGCGAATCAGCTGTTTGCGACATTCTGGAAGCGTGGGGAAGGTGGGGTAGGAGTTAAGTGCAGGGCTGCTGGTACGCGAGGGCGGGGCAGGAAGCTTGGTGCCAGTGAGTGCTCCGATGGGTGCACCAGCCCCAGAGCACCCCCGGAGTCCACGCCTACGGAGTCAGTACTAGCTCCCCAGCTGCATTTAAATACCTGAGCAGCAGATTCTCTCTGGAGGAGGAGGGGGGCTGTATCCTTTACCAGTGAGAAATCCAGGGGATGGAGATGGGGATGGGCATAGGGGTAGAGTTAAAAGTACCAGGCAGTAGCCGGACTTAAGGAGGGACTAGATGTCTGGGGGCTGGTGGTTACGGGAGTGTTTGCACCTGGTGCAATTAGCCGTTCCTACCTAGTGCAGGACAAGCAAGCTGGCTAGCGCAGCAGAAAAGGCAAAGAGTAAGCAGACGTGGCCACTTCAAAGGTCACATTTAGGTTTATTTCACTGAGCCAGCAAGTGGGAGGAACAAAACCAAGCAGCAGTTAGCTAAACTTAATGGCCTTGATGGCAAAGTCACCGTCCACAGACAGGTACTCAATATTCTCCAAGCCCAGCCGATTGGGGAACGTGATCTCCTTGTCACCAGCCAGTTTCACTGTCAGCTCGGTTGTGTCAAAGGAGATGCAGATCTGCGGGAAGCAGACATATTAGAACCAACACACGGACGTAGGCAGCCTGTCCTCCCACCACCTCTCAGAACGGTGTTAGCCAGAAGCTCTCCCGGACAGCTTCAACGACTCTTCCCTCGACTGGCATCTGCCCCGAAAGTTTTGTCTCCCCCATAGCTGGCTAAGAGGGCCCCCCCAACGTCTCAGAGGGCGCCTTCGCAGTGAACAGAGGCCTACTTAATTAGGGTGAAGTGTTCTGATGTATGGTGGGGAATGTGCTGGAATATAGGGCTAGGAAGGACTCCTGGCTCCACAAATAATGTGCCCTCTTAGCACAGCTTTGCATCCCACTCCACGGCCCTCACCTCCGTCTTGTCACCCTGCTGGAAGGGGAAGTCAGCCTCCCTCTCCTCTGTCCCCCACCTCCCATCCTCCATGGAGTTGCACACGATGACGTTCACGTCGCCGTGGGAGTCGAAGCGCGGGTTGAAATGCAGCATCAGGTTGCCGCTGTCCTTCCCCACGTTCACAGCAAACCTGGCACGGAGGAGACGGTTAGAGACACCACCGCGCCATGGAGCCCCCGCCCACCAGAGCCCGGATCAGACAGCGCTGGGGTGCAGAGAACCACCCGCTTCACAACAGGGTCAGAGGCAGAGTCACCGCTCCTACGCTGGTCGTGCACTAAGGGCAGAACTTGGCCCCTCATTCCGCTCCTTACCTAAAGGCTGAAGTAACATTTAATCCCTCCCAGGCTCCCCGTCTCACCGCTTGGCTTCTGGGAAGATCTTCCCCTTCACTTTGATGCACTCTCCAGGTTGGACATTCAAGTGAGTAGCCACCAGCACCTGAGGGAGTCAAGCCACATAGGTATGAGCCTGGCCCTGTGGAACAACAGGCTACTCCTTTGATTTGAAGGGGGTGGGCAGTACCTCCGGGGACACAGAACGAAGAGTCCTGAGGCAAGACAGGTTCCAACCCATCCCCTGGGTGGGTCGGTCAGCACCCGGAATCATTAACATGCAATCGCAGGTCAGAGGATGAGGCGTGTTGGTCTCAGTCCTGTTCCTTCTCCACATGTTCCCAGCCACAGGCTCCAACTGGTCTGACCGCCAGCTGTCTGGCCCGAGCTCAAGGCCTGGACTAGAGGGAGGTGGGGGCCTCACGAGTGGGGATTTGGGGATGTAACACACCCAGGGGAGCCTGCTTTGCTTCTCCTGCCGCTGCTTGTGATTTTCCATGCGTTAGCAGTTAGGGCTTTTCTACACTGGCAAGTTACTGCGCTGTGCCGGTCTCCCAACTGGTCTGACCGCCAGCTGTCTGGCCCGAGCTCAAGGCCTGGACTAGAGGGAGGTGGGGGCCTCACGAGTGGGGATTTGGGGATGTAACACACCCAGGGGAGCCTGCTTTGCTTCTCCTGCCGCTGCTTGTGATTTTCCATGCGTTAGCAGTTAGGGCTTTTCTACACTGGCAAGTTACTGCGCTGTGCCGGTCTCGTTTAGGGGTGTGAAAAAACAACACCCCCCCCCCCCCCCCCCCCAGTGCAGCAAGTGACAGTGCTGTAAAGCACCAGTGTAAATAGGCTCCCAGCAGTTCTATCACATTAGACTAGTGGTCATAGCAGCATTTGCACCAGCATCTCCACCTTCAGTTTTGGGGAGAGGGTCAGTTTCCATTTTACCCCCCTCCTCCACCAGGTGGGGATGCGAGAGTTCAGAGCTGGGGAACAGTGAAAATAGACATTTCTCTCTTCGCACTCCCACCCCAGGCAGATTTCCCCAGCCCTTATATTCCAGGACACACACTGATGAATGACTGGGTCTCGTAGATTAGCAGATCTGCCCTAAGGACTGGCTGTTCTACTGTCCCCACTTTAGTGGGAGCAGCCAAGAGGATATCCCGCTACCTGCATCTTCTGTTCTGTTGCGCCCAGTTCCTCAGAGCCGTTCTTGCCACAGTGCTGAAGTCATAGAGGCTTCTCTTTTCACATTGCAAAATGCCTAATCCCCATAGCATTTAAGCCCTGCTTATACGGGCTCCCTGGCCTCTTGTCCCTCTTTGATTCTATTTCTGGCATACAGGCTGCAGCATGGTCAGAGAGCAGATTCCAGGAGGAGGCAGACATGGAGACAGAGGCAGGGTGGCATTATTTAAGAGCAGGAGCTGCGTTTCTGAGTTTGAGAGGGCTGAAAGACCAAGGTTGGGTCTATGACATTCCTCTCTCCTGTAAGGCTGGGCTGAAAGGCTTTTATTTTAAGATAACAGGACAAACAAACACTGGCTTTATACAGACCTGGCATGTTTTGCAATATTCCAACAGCTGTTTTGTATAGAGTTTGCAAAGGAGGAAAAAAAAGTCCTTTGATGGTCTTTCCAGGCTAAGAAATTGGAAACTTTAGTAAAATTACTGACATTATGGGGGGGCTAGAAACTGTCAAGATGAATATGTGGCTCATCAGGAACACTTCAAAAAACAACTTGGAAATGTCTTGCAAAAAATCAAAGTTCTGCCATGGCTAGGGTTCCTCCCCCTCCCCCCCTCAATGTTAATAGTCCAATCGTGCATTTTCCCACCGTCATTGACATATGTGGCCCAACACAATACCTACAGCTATTAACCCTCCCTTCGAGAAATTCTTCTATTTCAAGATGCATGGGAAAAAGTCATTAGCAGTCAGATGAGTGAGATGTAGGGGCACAAGGAGTCTGGTCACAAGGCAGCGCGTGATCCCAAACAATCGCGAGTAGTTAACTTTCTTCCAGGATTCCACACCTCACTAACTAGCCCCTTGTCTAGAAAATAAACTCCTGGCCCTTTCCAGCCTCACAGCCCCCCAGCTACAAGAACCAAGACTCACATGCTCCATGCTGCTGCTGCCGGAAGCCCCCGAAGTGAGGACAACTGCTTGCTCTCCGGGTCCAAGGTTCAGCTGCGTGACTCAGCACTGTCTCTCTGGGGTCTTTAAACAGCTGGGCAGCAAAGTGCTCACATGATTTCTTGGGTGGGTGGGGCTGGTTGGAGGGTCAGTTCTTCTTCTTTCCAGTTTCAGGCCTACAAATAGAGAACAGCAGGCCAGAGTCAGTATTTGGTTAGCAAGACTGAGCTTTTCCGGCCAAGTATTAGCTTTTGCACTGACAGCAGCAGGGCTGCTTCCGATCGATAGCTCCAGTTTGCTTTAAAGAGGCAGAACATAAGAACATAAGAACAGCCGTACTGGGTCAGACCAAAGGTCCATCTAGCCCAGTATCCTGTCTACCGACAGTGGCCAGCACCAGGTGCCCTAGAGAGGGTGACCGAAGACAATGATCAAGCGATTTGTCTCCTGCCATCCCTCTCCAGCCTCTGACAGACAGAGGCCAAGGACACCATTTTATCCCCTGGCTAATAGCCTTTTATGGACCTAACCTCCATGAAATTATCTAGCTTCTCTTTAAACTCTATTATAGTCCTAGCCTTCCCAGCCTCCTCTGGCAAGGAGTTCCACAGGTTGACTACACGCTGTGTGAAGAAGAACTTTCTTTTATTAGTTTTAAACCTGCTACCCACGTATGACTCTGAGGACTGGTGGTGGCAGAATCTTTTGCCCCTGGAACAATTCACTAACCCAAACCTCTGCTAGCTGACTGAAAGCCAACCTATCCACGCACAACCAGCCCTCCTGCAGTTGCTATGCCAGCACGTGGTAGCCTCTTTCCCACAATTCGAAGGCCAGCTGGCTGCATGCATGGACTGTTGTGGGTTTGAAATCTTCTTGACTGAGGCAGGGACGGAGGATCTTAAAGGATACACTGCTAATCCAGCGCTGCGGCTGTCTCCCTATTTGCCCATCTGTAAAACGGGAGCAATCATTCTCCTCCGCCTCACAGTCTGTGTGTAACAAGGCCTGCGGCTTGCAAAGCATTGTGGGATACTTCGGCGGATAAGGCTAGGGCAGTGCAAAGGATTGCTACTAGTCGACAAGTGTCTTGCGGCACTCACGGAGGATACACTGCTAATCCAGCGCTGCGGCTGTCTCCCTATTTGCCCATCTGTAAAACGGGAGCAATCATTCTCCTCCGCCTCACAGTCTGTGTGTAACAAGGCCTGCGGCTTGCAAAGCATTGTGGGATACTTCGGCGGATAAGGCTAGGGCAGTGCAAAGGATTGCTACTAGTCGACAAGTGTCTTGCGGCACTCACGGAGGGTATGAGGCCCCCCGCGTCTACACCCCAGGGTTCTGCATAGCCTGATGGAGCCAGTGTTGCACTGGAATGCAGGGGGTGGGCAGGACCCCGGCGTTGGTGGGAGCTGAGGAAAAGACGTGACCGAAGGAAGTGCAGCCAGCTGGAGAAGGCTTGTTTGTCAGCGGGCCGCTACCACACACAACACCCAGAACTTCATGGGCCCCAAGAAACCCATGGAAATTATGGCAGTAGCAGGGGTCAGATTGATACTCCCAGACCAAACTCAGGGGGCCAGCTACAGCCACGCTGCCCACCCGGGGGTTGGTCTAGCCTCCCCATGATGGGAGGTGGGGACGCAGCTGCAGTGTAGACACACCCAAAGCAATTTAAAACAGGACTACGTAGCACTTTAAAGACTAACAAGATGGTTTATTAGGTGATGAGCTTTCATGGGCCAGACCCACTTCTGACCCACGAAAGCTCATCACCTAATAAACCATCTTGTTAGTCTTTAAAGTGCTGCATAGTCCTGTTTCTTGTTTCAGCTACACCAGACTAACACGGCTACATCTCTATCCCCAAAGCAATTTAGGCACTTAATGCTGATTGTGTAGTTAAGTGTGGCTAAATCCTTTGGAGGATCTGGGCCTTGACCCCTCTGTGCCTCGATTTCCCCATGGGGATAGCAATCCTACTCTACAGTGGTGGTGTAAGAGTTGGTTAATGTTTTGTGGCATATTTTGTGACTCCTTCAGATGGAAGCTACCATAGAAGGGCAAACTCCCGTTATCTGTTTGTTTGATCAGCAGGTACTAAGGGCTGAAAGAGCTATCCACAGATACCAAAGGGCTGTCCACATTTGGGCGAGCCAGGGCAGTGGATGAAACTGAGCAAAGGAATTTATGGCTGAATAGCAGAGGGAAATGCCTTGCCCACTGGGAGCTACATCAAATTCCATTGTCCCACACTCCTGTACCCCAAAGAGACTCCAGACCTCTGACTTCTAATTACCTGAATAGTTGTGCAGGTCAATTTTGTAATATATGGACAAGGCCTAAACTGGCAAGGCCTCGCAAGTAGCATTTTCTTTGAAGCTCCCTTCACAAACCCTGCTGTTAATCCCCACCCCCGCACCCCACTCTGTAGGCCTAGGGTGTCACAGACGTGATTTCCTGGTGATTCCCTATTCTTGTGAACAGCTGGCTGGCCTAGCCTCTCTCTGCCCCCCCTGCCGTTCAGGGCTGCTCCTTCACACAAGGCAGTAGCTGTCTAATTACAAAGGGAAACGGAACAGCGTATTCTCCTCGGCGCTCCGTGTACCCGTGACGACGAGGGGGGGGAATCAGGGCACGGTGAGCAAGGCGGTTGTCTTGGGCCTCGTGCTTTCCGCCCGCCCGGCTGCTCACTCGCTGCCCTGGCGGGGAGCCACCCGGCCACACGGTGCAGCCAACCACCACCTGCCGCCTCGGGCCCCACAAACACTTGGGCCGGGCCTGCGTGGAATGACGTTCAGGCCCTGAACTGGGTCAGCAGCAGACCCTCTGCTCGGTGCCCGGTGTAACGCGGCACCGCCCTCACGCCGGGCTGAGGGAGCAAAGCGCTCCGCCGTGCCGGAGAAGAAACCGAGCAGCGATCTGCCATGCCAGCCTGACTCCTTCCTCCCGAGACGATTCGTCCACAAACCATGGAGGGGAAGGAAGAACTTACTTAGCCCCTGCCCGCCGTGCCACAAGGTGAGAGAGAGAGAGAGAATCCCTCGCTGCTCACCACGCCCTCCGGGGGCTTTGTAGCAGGGGCAGGCTGCCAGGTGGGGAACCCTCCTCTCTTCAGCAGAAGGAATTTGCTCAGCACCTCGGCTCCTGCCCTGCGCATGATGGAAGAGAGAGACAACCCAGGAGTAGGGTTGCCAGATGTCCAGTTTTCACCCGGACTGTTTGTTATTCAGGTCCCCGAAATGTCTGGTATTTCCTGTTTCCTTCAGATGGAAAAATCCTCTTTTTTTTTTTTTTTTTGCTTAACAACTTTGGTCTCCCCTTTTTTTCTCGACAGAATTTTTTCCTGGTGTTTTTTTTGGGGGGGGGGGGGGGGGAATTTTTTGTTAAACCATCTGGCAACCCTACCCGGGACTAAACCAAAGCCCTTTCCCACCCACACCCTAGACTCCTGAATTGCTGGGAGTGGCTCTGTGCAACACAGGGGATGCCAGGTGGGCAGCCCCAACTGCAGGGAGTGGACTAAACTTTCCCTCAGATTTCCCCAAAAATGGAAGCCTGACGCCAATAGCTTCGGCCCTCCTCTGCGTGCTGCTGCTCGCTGTGACCAGTAGGTGTCACTCTCAGAGCAAACATGGGAGAAGGGTGGGGAACAGAGCAGCAAGGAGAAGGAATAAAGAACCCCTCCCTCCTCACACACCCTCTGGCAGCGCCACGCCTGGGCGCAAAGACACCAAACGCAAAGGCTGCCAGGGAGAAAAGCACAATATTCCCCACTGGGGTGTGGCACGAGGCCCAGCCCTCACCTTACACAACTGGACACCTACACCCACTTGTCCCCTCTGCAGAGGGGAAGGGTTTCCCTCGGGGAACTTGTTTCTACAGCGGCAAAGGTGAGCCCTGTGAGCAAACGGGAAGCTCAGCCCCTCACAGAGCATCCCCCGTCCCTGTGGTTTTTGGAGGAGCCATCCACATGGAGGCTGCTTCCCCTCCCCAGCCTCCTGGCTCCCTCTGCGGTGTCTCTTCTTGCCTCAGCCCCTAATCCCGTCTCCGGTGGGGTCAGCATGGAAGGGCACCTGGCAAAGTTACCCCTTGTGCAGCCGCAGCCTGGAGCGGGGGTCTTTTTGGGCCGCAAAACCTCCCTTGCGGTGCCCTGAGCGATGCCCATTCCACTCCGTGCACACAGTCCTATCCTTGGGGAGCTACCGACGCACCGTGTTATAAAAGAGGATTTACCACCAGGATGTATCACCTTTATCAGAGATGAGCAGCAGGCCTCAGATGCTCCATCTGTTTCCCTGGCACCCCCGCCCAGCTTTGCGCTGCTCTCACAGGCAGCGCCCCTTGTTGGTTTGTTTGCTTTTTTTTTCCTTCTAAATTATTAATTGCCAGCGTGACTGAGGTGGAGAAAGAAACAAAGAAGGTGGAACGAAGGCTGGGCTCCTTGTAAAATTGAAAACCGCTGTCAGGTATCTAAAAGGGTGTTACAAGGGGTACGTCTACACCACACGCTTATTTCAAAATAAGCTATTCCGGAATAGTTACTCCGAAATAGCTTATTTCGAAACAGCACATCCACACTGCAGGGAAGCCTCAAAATGAGTCCGAGGCAGGCTTCCCTAATGTAGATGCGCTATCTCGATTTAGAGCCCCCAAAGGCACTGGGGAGGAATAACTTAGAATGGCCCTGGGGAGGGGCTATTTCAAAATAGCAGCAGTGGAGCAGCTACACACGCCTTGTTCTGAAATAGCTATTTCGGAAGAGGCGCTATTCCTCATAGAATGGGGTTTACAGCTTTCAGAATAAGCCGTCTGTTATTTTGAATTTAGTTTGAAATAACGGAACGGCTGTGTAGACGCTCGCGCTGTTACTTCGAAATAACGGTGCCGTGTAGACGCACCCAAGGAGGCAGAAGAAAAATTGTTCTCCTTGGCCTCTGAGGCTAGGACAAGAAGC